AATTAATAAGAAAAGTGTTTTCCCGAGAAGTTTTGGTGTAGTCGATTTTTGGTAAAAAAGAAGGTTATACACTGCCTTTTTTTGAGCCCCGAAAAAAAATTGTCTCAGATCGACCCGGAAAAAAATTTTCTTATAGAATGTGGCCTGTAGAATCCATAATTTCAAACAGTTCCAAAATTGGGCTACTAGTTCAAAAGTTACAGCCCTTTGAATTTTTTTTCGAAATTGGTTTCTAGTCTATAACTTTTGATTGAGAAGTCTGATCGAAAAAGAACGAATTGATTTGGATTCTACGCACCCAAATTAATAAGAAAAAGTGTTTTCCCGAGAAATTTTGGTGTAGTAGATTTTTGGTAAAAAAGGAAGGTTGTACACTGCCTTTTATTGAGCCCCGAAAAAAAATTGTCTCATATCGACCCGGAAAAAAATGTTTCTTATAGAATGTGGCCTGTAGAATCCATAATTTCAAACAGTTCCAAGATTGGGCTACTAGACTACGTTCCCTGCCACCTGTCACTTTACCACCTGTGACAATGCTAAATGTCTATAATGACTCCTGTAATCACTGACAGATTGACATGAATCAAAAGTTCTATATGAAAATTGAAATTTTATATTAAAATACGATTTCGGGTAAAATTTAATACAAAACTCGTCAAAAATCACATTACCTGACTCGGAAATTTCCTCGCCAGTAATGTGTCATTTTCGGGACTGTACATAACTATTAATTTCTATGACAGAGGCAGAGCAGACTACATTTCCTGCAACTTGTCACTTGACTGGCCGCATCTGTCAGTTTACCGGCCGCACCGTCACTTTACGGGCCGCATCTGTAACATTTCTAAACGTCTAAAATGACTCCTGTCATTACTAGCAGATTGACAATCAAAAGTTCTATATAAAAATTGAATTGAATTGAAATTTTATAATAAAATATGATTTCGGGTGTAATTTAATACAAAACTCGACAGTAAAATGACATTACTTGAATCGGAAATTAAAGTACTATGCCCCAAAGGCCAGTAATGTGTCATTTTCCGGACTTTTATGTAAATAACTATTACAAACATTCCAGACTTTTCAGTTACGGTCTTTGATACATATTTTCCTGATCACACTGCTGTTGGTTTTACCATTGATGACGTCGCTTCCCACAAATATTGTAGTGGAAATAATCGTAAAATTACATATAGGTACACCAATCTCATCTCTAGTCACAAAGGAGATGCCCAGAAATGTTATAATTGAGATACAACAATTAATTAGCAAAAGCGAAAAAGATGAAAAATGATTAATTCATAAAAAAAACTCTAAAAATAAGGTAGCTGCGATGTGGCAAATCATTAAAGGCAAGAACACCTTGAACCATGTGCTGAACTGAATTGTAACATTTTTAATGACTATTCATTGACCCCAATTGTTAACAATGTTATCCTTTTTTACCAAAAATCGACTACACCAAAATTTGTCGGGAAACACTTTTTCTTATTAATTTGGGTGGCGTAGAATCCAAATCAATTGTTCTTTTTTCGATCAGACTTCTCATCAAAAGTTATAGACTAGTATAATCCGGTCGATCCGAGATAATTTTTTTTTGGGACTCAAAAAAAGGCAGTGTATAACCTTCCTTTTTTACCAAAAATCGACTACACTAAAATGTCTCAGGAAAGCACTTTTTCTTATTAATTTAGGTGCGTAGAATTCAAATCAATTCGTACTATTTCGATCAGACTTCTTAATCAAGTTATACTAGAAACCAATTTCGAAAAAAATTCAAAGGGCTGTAACTTTTGAACTAGTAGCCCAATCTTGGAACTGTTTGAAATTATGGATTCTACAGGCCACATTCTATGAGAAAATTTTTTTTCCGGGTCGATCTGAGACAATTTTTTTTTCAGGGCACAAAAAAAGGCAGTGTATAACCTTCCTTTTTTACCAAAAATCGACTACACCAAAATTTCTCAGGAAAACACATTTTCTTATTAATTTGGGTGCGTAGAATTCAAATCAATTCGTACTTTTTCGATCAGACTTCTTAATCAAAAGTTATACTAGAAACCAATTTCGAAAAAAAATTCAAAGGGCTGTAACTTTTGAACTAGTAGCCCAATCTTGGAACTGTTTGAAATTATGGATTCTACAGGCACATTCTATAAGAAAAAATTTTTTTCCGGGTCGATCTGAGACAATTTTTTTTTCGGGGCTCAAAAAAAGGCAGTGTATAATAACCTTCCTTTTTTACCAAAAATCGACTGCACCAAAATTTCTCGGGAAAACACTTTTTCTTATTAATTTTGGTGCGTAGAATCCAAAACAATTCGTACTTTTCCGATCAGACTTCTCAATAAAAAGTTATAGACTAGATACCAATGTCGAAAAAAATTCAAAGGGCTGTAACTTTTGAAATAGTAGCCCAATCTTGGAACTGTTTGAAATTATGGATTCTACAGGCCACATTCTATAAGAAAATTTTTTTTTCCGGGTCGATCTGAGACAATTTCTTTTTCGGGGCTCAAAAAAAGGCAGTGTTTAACCTTCCTTTTTTACCAAAAATCGACTACACCAAAATTTCTCGGCAAAACACTTTCTCTTATTAATTTTAGTGCGTAGAATCCAAATCAATTCGTACTTTTTCGATCAGACTTCTCAATCAAAAGTTATAGACTAGAAACCAATTTCGACAAAAAATTCAAAGGGCTGTAACTTTTGAACTAGTAGCCCAATCTTGGAACTGTTTGAAATTATGGATTCTACAGGCCACATTCTAAAAGAAAATTTTTTTCCAGGTCGATCTGAGACAATTTTTTTTTCGAGCCTCAAAAAAAGGCAGTGTTATACCTTCCTTTTTTACAAAAAATCGACTGCACCAAAATTTCTCGGGAAAACACTTTTTCTTATTAATTTTGGTGCGTAGAATCCAAAACAATTCGTACTTTTTCGATTTGACTTCTCAATCAAAAGTTATAGACTAGAAACCAATTTCGAAAAAAAATTCAAAGGGCTGTAACTTTTGAACTAGTAGCCCAATCTTGGAACTGTTTGAAATAATGGATTCTACAGGCCACATTCTATAAGAAAAATTTTTTTCCGGGTCGATCTGAGACAATCTTTTTTTCGGGCCTCAAAAAAAGGCAGTGTATAACCTTCCTTTTTTACCAAAAATCGACTACACCAAAATTTCTCGGGAAAACACTGTTTCTTATTAATTTGGGTGCGTAGAATCCAAATCAATTCGTACTTTTTCGATCAGACTTCTCAATCAAAAGTTATAGACTAGAAACCAATTTCGAAAAAAAATTCAAAAGGGCTGTAACTTTTGAACTAGTAGCCCAATCTTGGAATTGTTTGAAATTATGGATTCTACAGGCACATGCCTATGAGAAAAATTTTTTTTTCCGGGTCGATCTGAGACAATTTTTTTTTCAGGGCACAAATAAGCAGTGTATAACCTTCCTTTTTTTACCAAAAATCGACTACACCAAAATTTTCTCGGGAAAACACTTTTTCTTATTAATTTGGGTGCGTAGAATCCAAATCAATTCGTACTTTTTCGATCAGACTTCTCAATCAAAAGTTATAGACTAGAAACCAATTTCGAAAAAAAAAATTCAAAGGGCTGTAACTTTTGAACTAGTAGCCCAATCTTGGAACTGTTTGAAATTATGGATTCTACAGGCCACATTCTATAAGAAAATTTTTTTTCCGGGTCAATGAGACAATTTTTTTTCAAGGCTCAAAAAAAGGCAG